CTCCTTATGCCTTTGGGACACTCACTGCCTTGTTTCCTTTATACTAGCCTCTTTGGTTTATTTTAGTTTTTAGATTCATGCATTAGATATATAGTTTATAGTTTGTTTGTAAAAAAGTATTTTATTAATTGTTGCTATATATTCAGTGCAGTTGATGATGTCATAAATTCATTTAGTCATCAGGAAAGTAGTTTGATAGCAATGATGAGGGAAGCAGTGCTAGTCTTTGATTTATGTGTTCTGTCACTATCAGTTGCTCAGGATTGTCCTCTACCAAACATAACTGAGATAGAGACTGTATTGCCTGCCTTACTAGTCATTTCTGATGGTAACCAGGAAAAGACAGGAAAAGGATGCAACACAGATCATTACTGATATACAAGTTGTCCTCTTTACAATCATTAGATGGTGTTATGGTAACATCTGATGAGAGACAAACTGCAGAAGCAACTTTCAGTGACAGATGCCAGCATCAAGTACAATACTTGTACTATCTATACATGTACAGTACTTGTTTTTGGTTATTGACTTTTTTTACAATGAATTTATGAATGCATGTATAGCTTCAGTTTCTTTCAGTTTCAACTTTGACTATAATGTAACACAATTTTGAAGTTTAGTCAGCAGTTAATTGTACTTGCATGGTATATACATGTACGCAACTTGCATTATTATAATTTATAGGATGAAGATCAAGCAGATACTGCATTACTACCATCACTAACTAATGCAGGACAAGTAAAGGTACTAGAGAGAAGTGTCAATTCAAAGTATACATTTCACATGTACATTGTAGGTTATGAATGTACCATTGTACATGTCAACTCACACTAGCAGACAGTCACAGGCTATGGAGGCACGAGCACTTCACTTACAAACATTACAAGCCTTTCAGGATAGAAGGTGAGAGAGAGAGAGAGGTGTGGATTAACTGTGTGTTGCTTTAGGAAAGGAAGGAGATAGTACTTATTTTATAATAATTATCAAGAAACATTTTTTATTATTTATTGTGTTCTTTATATTTGTCACAATTATTATTATTATCATTATAATAAAAATACACTATTACTATGGTAATGTTATTGATAGTGGCTCTAATGACAATAGCAGTCATACATAAGGCATGAATAGTACTACCCAACAATTTGCTGACGGGAGTAGGACACTTCAGGATATCATGTCTACTCTTTTCTGTTTTTTACTTTTACTGCTTGGCAGTTTAAGTTTCTTTCAGTGTGTCTCTTCTCAAAGTGTTGCTCCTGATGATGCTGACCCTCATTGTTCAGATATACCAATAAGAAATGTCACCTTTCCTAATGAAAGGATCCTACTGGACTCACAGAACTACAGGTCAACTCTTCTTGTTGGAGCAGAAGGAGAAAATAGGACATGGCTAACTATTGATTATGATGGAGGGGGAGTGGGTCGACCTGGTGCTTCTGAATTTGTTGATTCTGTAAGATTATTATTTGTTATTATTATTATTATCATCTCATGTAGTGGTATGAAGGTAATCAAGGAGTACAGTGTTTACATCGAATCAATGTTTGTGCTACTCTCATTCCTGGAGGAACATCTTCATTCCAAAGCAACTGGTTGATAACACAATTCATTAATATTAGTGAACCAGGAATAAGCAAGTTAAAAATCAATGTAACATTCTCGTCAAATTTGGTGTGCTCAAGCCAGCAGTGTGGCCAGCAGCAGACACTTGAAGTGCAGACATTTGAAACTGATGAACCAGATGATATGAACAGAGGTAATATCAGTTATTATTCATATGCTGGTGCTCATCTGATACACACTGCTGTTGAAAGAACTACAACAGACTCTGAGTCATTTGCTGTGTCTAGTTCTGGCCTGTATCTGGCTATATGGGACCAAGGATCTTGTACTGTCATTAATCGAATTGTGGTATTCTACAATGTCTGTCCTTATCAAATATTGAATAAAGCTATCTATCCAGAGACAGTAGCTCCTCAAGGGGGCTTTGATCCAGATAAGATTGTGAATGCTACTTGCATTGATAATGCCAGCCCTACATCATCAAATAGTTTAAGTTTAAAGTGTAGGTTGTTAGGAGTGTGGGATGGATCAGCTTCATGTCAATGTAATGCTGGATATGAGGCTAATGGTACAGTTTGTGAAGGTACAGATTTTCTATTCATGCATGGTTACTTTAGTGTTAAATGTTATGGCTAAACCCTGCACATGTTGCTATTGGCCACTTTAATCTTTAAAATTCCTTTATTTTTTGTCATAGTAATGAATAATTTATGTCCACTATAGCTTGTCAAGAAGGCACCTACAAGCCATTCGCAGGAGACAGTGAATGTAAAGATTGTCCTGAAAACAGCTACTCAGCTAGTCCTGGTTCTGTGTCCTGCCAGTGTCTGCCTGGTTATTATAGAACACTTTATGAAGGTATCACTGTGAGCTGCACTGGTAAGTAGTGTGAGTATGATTTATAATCAACATGCAACAAAATAATTTAAATTTAGCTCCTCCTAGCTCACCT